TGTGCATTTACCATGAACACCCTCCCCTTTTGCTGCCTTCAGCCATCATTAAACTCAGCCTGTGTACTTTGCTTTTGCAGGGTGAAGAAGGTGTGGGGACTGCTGGAAGGTGTCGGGTCCCTGGTACAACGACTTCACAGGCTTCTCCAAACCTTGGTGCCTGGTTTGCCTAAGACAGCCGTGGACAGGAGGAGGTGAGGGGCTGGGGGGGTTCCAGACACTCAGCATAAATAGAGCAGGGTGCAGAACAGGGAAGCTTTGGGAACATCACCCACTGGGTCATTGATGGTAGGTGTGGCTAAAAACTCCAAATTTGGAGTAGCCTACATTAAAAGTAGCTATTTTTTTATCCCTGTGATATTATTTTGATATCTCCAAGAAGCTACAAACCAGCTTAGTGCTACCTCCCTATTGCAATCCATTTGTGTTCCAGGTATTTATCTGATGGGCTCTGTCCTGGCAGGACATCAGGCACATTCACCAAGATCTTGAGAGATGTTCTGGCACTAAGCTCTCAGGGATTTAAGGCACATGCCCCCAAAATCTGCTTGCAAGTTCCCTCCTGTGCAGCTGCCCAGGAAACTCAGAATGATTTTGCCCTGAGGCAGCTGCAAACTCCTCAGCTGTGAGAAAGGCCTTTGGAGTCAAACATTCCTGGGGCTGCTCATCCCTGCCGGTACCTCCACCCTGCCTCAGCTCTCACCTTGTTCCCACAGGTAACAAGGATTGTCCCAGCGACGCCCTGGGGGTCTGAAGCGCTGCCTCGGAATGTGGTGGGCAACACCAGCACACACCAGCATGGCTGCTGGTTCTCGAGGGAATTTTTGGGGAGTATTTTTTTCTTCAGAACCTGTCTGGTTCTGTCTGCAGTGCTGTCACTGCAGTGTCCCTGCTCTGGCCTCACCTGCTTTTCCATGATGGCCGAGGCAAAGCTCCGGTGCCGCTCCTGGGACCCACCCCAGGCTGCAGGGGCCACGGGGCAGCTTCACCTGCAGACCTCACTGCAAGTCCTTTCCCGGCCTACTCCATCTCCTCCCCACCAGCAGCATCACTTCCCTGCTTTAATGCAGATTACAGGGTGGGCAGTTGCCAGGAAATGCCATATTTTAAGTATTTTCCTCCCCTGCAAAAACTTCAAGAGAGATTCCTCAGAGAGAGAAAGAGAGAGAGAGAGAAGCCTTAGGGAGCATCATACTGGGCAGGAACTAATTTTTCTACAGTTCCCTGAAGTTTTTTTTTAAACAATTATCAATCCTTGAGCTTCACACCTGCCCATAGCTCTGCTTCTCCTGCCTGTGGAGGTGGGAGTGCATTTAGATTCCCCTGGAACTTGCAGCTGTGCAGAAGGATGGAGAAACCTAAATATTAACTTCCCCCTACTTCTGAGTCCTGCAGGCTGCATCTCCTGACATTTCACAAATATGTGAGTTCTTCTCATGCAATTGTCTGTAACTCATGGCCACACACAGAGCATGGCCCAGACAAACACACCCTGTGTCACTGGTCTGCACACAGAATTAATTGGCAGCACTCTTAATTATCCCAAAACTGCTGCATACCAGAAGCTGTGGATTGGCTTTGCCCCAGTGTGTCTCCCCTGTTTGTTGGTTCCCAACAGCAGCAGCTGTTAATTAGAGGAAATAGCCTATTTAATTGGACAAAGGGAAATGAACAGAGGGCAGTTTCATCCAAAGGGCCGTGGAGATTGCAGGAATGAATGTGGGGAGTAGCTGAAGGCAGCTTTGATGTAACCAGACTCAAAGTTAACTAGGAGTGCTGTGTGAAAGAACAATATCCTATGCTCTCCATCTTTGGTTAAAATCAGGGACCTGGGAATACCTTCTCTGGAAAGAGTTTGCTAAAAGAAATCTGGATGCTTATTTCATAAATCATGAAATGGTTTGGGTTAAAAGGGATTTAAGATCACTGAGTTTCACCCCCTGCCATGGAAGGGATACCTTCACTGTCCCAGGTTACTCCATGTTCCATCCCACTGGGCCTTGGACACTTCCTGGCATTGCACAGAGAAACAGTGCAAGAGCCTTTTCCTGGCCTTGATCAGTAGGGCTTTTCCTTCCCAGAACTGGAAAATCTGATGTGCTTGTGCTCTGGAGATGGAGAGCCTGGACTCACCCCTTGATTGCTCTCTGGCCTAACAGATGAGTCTTGATTCCTCCCACAGGGGGAATTTTTCTCCTGAGACTGGTCAAAAACATTGCAGCCCAGCTGCAAAGCAGAAGCAGAAATTCGTGATGGCCCAGAGCTGCCCAGCTTCCAAAGAAACCTCATTTCCACTTTGTTGTTTCCAAAAGCTGCTCATAGCTCAGACTGATGGAGCCTTTAAAAAGGCAACCAGGGAAGCAACTTCTGCAGCCTGACACTGTGTCCTGCATTTCTTAGTGGGTCGAGAGTTGGTTTGTTTTCAAAGGAAGCATCTTTCTTGCTTCCATTTTATGTTTTCCAAACTTTTATTGTTAAATCTGGAATGGTAATGCTCCTAGTCTTTCCCCTTTACATTCCTCATTTGTTGTGGGCCTCCTAGATACAGGAGATTGTGTCTTTTTTCACTTTTCATTTAATTTATGTGGCTACCTTTTAAATAATCATCATGTTCTGAAATGTTGAAAGACTCATAAGGAAAGGGAAAATAAAGAGTAAAATTCAATAAACTTTGCATTTAGTCAGATGCTTCTTTGTATATTTTAGTAAACTGCAAACTGAAATGCTGGGGATTCACTGGTTTTCCATTGCAAACTAAAATGGGAGCAGGCATTACTTTGCATAGGATTGCAGAAAATGATAAGCTTTGGATTTAAACCTGCCTTGTGTTGCTTGAAAATGATACCGGTAGATGTTTACCTGCAGCTCTAATATGCTTTCCTTGCACAGTGTTAGGTTAGCAAACCTGGCTTGTAATGGTGGCAGAGAAAGCCACAGAAGCTGCTTCTGAGGGGAAGGCTCCTCCAGACTTGTACTATGTCCAGCAGAGGCAATCCCTAGAGGCTCTGATGATTGGCATATGGGGTGGCCCATTTAGAGAAGTTAGCAATGCCTCTGCGATGACATATTCAAGAAGGGAAAAAGGCGTGCAATTCCTCTTTCCCTTTCCCTGGAGAGATGGTGGGGGAGCCACTAGTCCCCTTCCCAAGGGGGGCTGCTGGGCCCTTTCCTGGCGGGGCTGCTGGGCCATGCCACTGGGGGCAATCCTGGCACCGCGAGTGGCCTTGAGGCTGAGGCCGGGAGTGGCCAAGGCCAGGAGCGGCTGCTGCCTTCGTGGTCCAGGAGAGGCCACACGGTTGGGACCGCACAGCCGGGGCGGTGCCACACGGCCGCTGCCATCGCAGCATGGCTCACAATGAACTGTCCTTGCTTAGCCGATTTTAGCCGGCCATGCTGCGGACAGAAGGGCAGACACGGCAGCAGCAACTTTTCCTTGTCGGTGCCTCACATGAGGAGAGAAGTTAAATGGAGCTGATGACCGGTGTGGTTTGTGCAGTGCTGCTGTGGACCACACGACTAGCAGCGAAGGGCATGGTGAGCAATTCCCCAATGCGGAGCTCGGACAGGAGTAACCTTTCAGGGCTCCAGATCTCTATAAAGTTTTCCAGTTGATAGAACTTGAAAACAAAAGAACCTACAGACACCAATTCTCTCCTGAGTCAGAGAAAAGAAAAAGATGAACACATAAAAGGAGAACAACATAGTGACACTAAGGTTGGTGCAAAAGAGGAAAGAGGAGGAGGAAGTGTGTCGGAACCCAGGACACCCCTCTGGGTGACCAGGATGGCTTGAGCCCCTGGCAGGGGGCTGATGAGCCCTGGCAGAAGGCCAAAAACACTTGGGGATTTGATCTTAGCCCCTGGGAGAAATTACCAACTTGTATGAAGAGTCACAGGTCACAAAAGTCTAAGTAGCATAGTAGTAGTAAGCACGGGGTGAAGGAAAAATTTTGGAACCATGTACAGGGGGGTTTAGAACCTTGTACAGGGGGGTTTGGGATTCTGTACGTGGGGGTCAGGGGGTCCAAGACGGAGGGATTTGGGCGTGCCCTGTTCTTCTTATTTCTTTTCCCTGGCATCCATGTCCAGGATGATGTTAGCACTCACAGACTGGTTTAGAGTAGAAAGTCACTGTCTAACATAGGTGATAGGTATTGCAACATAATTGTAAACGTAGAATACATAGTTTTTAGTATAAAAGATAGCACCAGCCCGAGAGGTGGAGAGTGTGTGCCTCAGACTGACCTGCCAGACAGGCTTGTGGCGGGCCGGAGAAAAAACATCTTAGACAAGCAACAATAAACGAACTTGAGAACCACAAATGAACAACTCCGACTCTTTCTTCGACCATCGGGCTGGCTCGGGGTCATCCCGACGATAGGGAACCCGAGAGAAGTGCTCCGAGCATTAGAGCTGAGATTCTTCTGCAAGGCATAGGGAGGACTATAGTACAACAAACTGTTTCCTTATAATTCATGAAATGCATGGGGCTGATGCAGAATTCACCCACATCCCATGAGAAAAGGGCGCTCGTGCTGGAACATGTGGATGCTGAGAAGCTGTGATTGGGTGAGAGGCTTGAACAGAGAGAAGGAAATGAAGTATTTCTGTGGCTGCAGCCAGATTTGCTAAGGAGAAGTTTGCATTTGGCTGGCATAAAAAAAAGGCAGCTTGAACACTTGAGACACCCCTAAAGAAGGGATGTGTGGGCAGAACCTGTTCTTACCTCACTGGGTGAGTGAATCCATGGCCTTCTCCATGGAAAGAGCTCCTTGTCCATGGAGTCCATCTGACCCAAATCGAGGGTGAGGCCTCAGTGTGAGGCCTCACTTGTAACCCCTGACCTGAGAGGGAACTTTCTCCCATTTCTGATGTTGTCACCTGCCCCAGAGCCTCTTTGGGCACTGACAGCCCTGGGCAAGTGTCACATGAAAATTGATGGGGTAAAGGAAATGTGGGTTCTTTACCTTCCTGGGGGTGGAGAAGGTGGTGTGGGGCTTCCTATTCTTCTCCATCCTCTGCCTGGCGGATCCCTGGATTCTCTTTGGGGTCATCCTCATGATCTGTGGCTCTGGAGTGAAGACCCCTCAGTTGTGGCTTCAGGTGCAGGGTTTCCTCGTGGGCCAAGGAAAGTGTGAAGCCCTCGAAGTAATTCACCTGGAAATCCCCTGGTGGGAAGAGATTCCAGCTCTCACTGCTTGTTGCTCAACTGCCAGGTCTGCAGCAGCAGCAGCAGCAGGTGTGACCTGGGCTGAGTGGAAATCAGGGATACTGATGACCCCAGGGCTCAGGCATCAGCAAACATTGCTGCTCTGTGCATCAGGGGCTTATCAAACACCACACAGGGCACCTGAGCCTGCACTTGCATCTGGAGGTCGTGGGACCTGTGTTCCCTGGGAAAAAGCTCTGTCGTGCCTAGAGTGGCAGAGAAAATGGGAGTGTGGCTCCAGAGGCAGCTTCAGGAGAGGCCAGGACTCAAGGAATCCTGGCAGTGCATTTCTGTGCCCCAGTCACTCTGGGGTAGCATCTCTTTCCTTGTGTCAGCAAACCAAGGAAGTAAGGGAAGCACCCAACCTACCTGTCCGCAATTCCAGTCACTTACTGAGTCTTTTTAGGAAGGAGATTGTGTCCTGGTAGCCCTCGATATAAAAGCGGTCCATGACCTGTGGGGGGAAGTGGCATTCAGGGCAGCTGTGCTGCTGCAGGGGGCTCATGGCTCTGGCTACCTGGAGGAGCTGCTCACCTGATGCAGGGGAGGCCGAAAAACATACAATAAGCGGCAGATGTTCATTTTTGAGAACTGGAAGATACAGTCAGAGAGCTGGAAGGTCAGGAAGGCAGCGGGGCAATCCTTGGGGCAGATGTCGTATTCGCCGGCGAAGGCAGAGATGGTGATGGTGGTGCGGGACACAAAGTCGGCTCTCCACATGGCCAGCTCCCCGTCCAGGTAGCGCTGGGAGACAGAACAGGGAGCCCTGAGCCTTCCCCTCGCAGGGAGAGCAGTGCTGTTCACACAGGCAAACGTGGGCCTTGTTCCCCAGCCAGGCCCACACCAGACTGAGGTTCTGGGGTCCCGCAGATCCCCTTCCAGGGAACTGCCCCACCTGCTGCTCCTGGGCACCAGGTCCACACCTGCCCTCCTCCCTTCCCCCTAAAAACCTACAGCAATGAAACTGGGTGGAAAGTGCAGCAGAAAGGAGCTGAGGAAGGGACAGGGGCAATGGACAATCCAGTGAGAAGCTCAGTCCTGTCTGCAGTGAGGTCCGATTTTGGGGTCTTTGTCTTCTCCCTGCAGACACTGGGGGAACACAGCCTTGAGCTCCGTTGGTGGCAAATTCAGGTAGAAACATCCTTAATGCCACCGCTGGACAAAGGACAGAGGCTGGAGGGGCCCTGGGCCTGAGCTGTGACAGGGTCTCCAGGCCACAAAGCTACTCACCACCCCACGGAACGTTGGAGGGAAAAACCCAAAATACAGCGGGAGGAAGCAGCTGCACGTCACAGCCTGTGGGTGAAATGGGAAGGATAGAGGTGAGCAAAGAGCCGTGGAAACTGTTGCCTTTGGGAGGGGTGACTCATCTGTGAGTGCCAAAACAGGGTACCCCAGCTGGGGTATTTGGCATCACTGACTAATGGGGACCAGATCTTGTCTCATACCCACAGCCAAGGCAGAGAATGAACACATAAAAGGAGAACAACATGGTGACACTAAGGTTGGTGCAAAAGAGGAAAGAGGAGGAGGAAGTGTGTCGGAACCCAGGACACCCCTCTGGGTGACCAGGATGGCTTGAGCCCCTGGCAGGGGGCTGATGAGCCCTGGCAGAAGGCCAAAACCACTTGGGGATTTGATCTTAGCCCCTGGGAGAAATTACCAACTTGTATGAAGAGTCACAGGTCACAAAAGTCTAAGTAGCATAGTAGTAGTAAGCACGGGGTGAAGGAAAAATTTTGGAACCATGTACAGGGGGGTTTAGAACCTTGTACAGGGGGTTTGGGATTCTGTACGTGGGGGTCAGGGGGTCCAAGACGGAGGGATTTGGGCGTGCCCTGTTCTTCTTATTTCTTTTCCCTGGCATCCATGTCCAGGATGATGTTAGCACTCACAGACTGGTTTAGAGTAGAAAGTCACTGTCTAACATAGGTGATAGGTATTGCAACATAATTGTAAACGTAGAATACATAGTTTTTAGTATAAAAGATAGCACCAGCCCGAGAGGTGGAGAGTGTGTGCCTCAGACTGACCTGCCAGACACTTAGCCCCTGGGAGAAATTACCAACTTGTATGAAGAGTCACAGGTCACAAAAGTCTAAGTAGCATAGTAGTAGTAAGCACGGGGTGAAGGAAAAATTTTGGAACCATGTACAGGGGGGTTTAGAACCTTGTACAGGGGGTTTGGGATTCTGTACGTGGGGGTCAGGGGGTCCAAGACGGAGGGATTTGGGCGTGCCCTGTTCTTCTTATTTCTTTTCCCTGGCATCCATGTCCAGGATGATGTTAGCACTCACAGACTGGTTTAGAGTAGAAAGTCACTGTCTAACATAGGTGATAGGTATTGCAACATAATTGTAAACGTAGAATACATAGTTTTTAGTATAAAAGATAGCACCAGCCCGAGAGGTGGAGAGTGTGTGCCTCAGACTGACCTGCCAGACAGGCTTGTGGCGGGCCGGAGAAAAAACATCTTAGACAAGCAACAATAAACGAACTTGAGAACCACAAATGAACAACTCCGACTCTTTCTTCGACCATCGGGCTGGCTCGGGGTCATCCCGACGATAGGGAACCCGAGAGAAGTGCTCCGAGCATTAGAGCTGAGATTCTTCTGCAAGGCATAGGGAGGACTATAGTACAACAAACTGTTTCCTTATAATTCATGAAATGCATGGGGCTGATGCAGAATTCACCCACATCCCATGAGAAAAGGGCGCTCGTGCTGGAACATGTGGATGCTGAGAAGCTGTGATTGGGTGAGAGGCTTGAACAGAGAGAAGGAAATGAAGTATTTCTGTGGCTGCAGCCAGATTTGCTAAGGAGAAGTTTGCATTTGGCTGGCATAAAAAAAAGGCAGCTTGAACACTTGAGACACCCCTAAAGAAGGGATGTGTGGGCAGAACCTGTTCTTGCCTCACTGGGTGAGTGAATCCATGGCCTTCTCCATGGAAAGAGCTCCTTGTCCATGGAGTCCATCTGACCCAAATCGAGGGTGAGGCCCTTCTCTTTCCAACCAAACAAACTCTCCCAGTCTTATATGCATGCCTTTGTTTGGCATAAATCTCTGAGCCAAAGGTCCAGTGAAACAGCAGCAGTGGGCAGAAGTGGATGATGTGATGTCCTAATGCTCATTAAAATAAGATTACTGCAATGCAGGGTGCCTGAGGTGAGCACTGGCAGCCCCAGGCGATGGGGACAGCCACATGTCACACTGATGTGTTGGGGGAGCAGCCCAGGGGTCTGGTGTGCCCCAGGACTGAGTCTTTGGGAGGGAGAAGCTGCTTCCCAAAGTGCTGAACTGCTTCAGTGATACCCTGGAGTTCCAGCACAAAATTCCAGCACAAACTCTCTTGCCCCATTTGCAACAGGTTGCCAAACCCCATCACAGGGATTGGAGAAGGTGATTGGGTTACTAAAGAAATCACAACCCAAGTAGTTTTCCTTGTTTCACAATTTCAGGGCCTGAGTTTGCTTACAGAAGGGTAAAAATACAGAGTCCAGGTAAGAACTCATGGTTTCACCTGCCTCCTACATGGCTGAGGTAACAGTAGAGCAACCAGTCAGTAAAAAGGAAAGAAGGGGGAAAAAGGCTGACGAATGCAGGGATTTATTGGTTATCCATTCAGAAATGCAAAACCTTCTTAGTATTCCAGCTGGGTGAGCCATTGGGAGGCTGCTGGTGGGAAAAGCAGTGCTGAGAGCTGGGCAAGGCAGAGGCAAGTGGCCAGCACAGACAACAGCAACTTGGCCACCCCTCTTCTGATATACACAGAAATCTGTCCTACATCTTCAGGCAAAATGCTTCCAAAGCCACCAGGAGATGCTTCTCTGCCTCTGGCTGTGTGCCGGGGCAGTGCTGGAGGGATTTGGATGCAGCCCTGATCTCTGGGAGGGGGCTACAAAACAGCCCTGAGGATGACAGAGCAGCTGTGCTGGACATGCTGGGGCTGGCAGGGCTGTGGGCTCCACTAACCCCAAAGCATCAGCCCAGGGTTAATCCAGCCCCAATTCCACATGGGAGCAGTGTCTGCCACCACCCAGGAGCCAAGGCACTGAGCTCCTTGCACACACCTTGCAGGTCCTGCTGCTGAGCAGCAAAATAAAACTGAAGACTCAAGACAAGAGGGATAAATAGATTCCATGCCTAATCAAGAGGACAAATGCAGTGGAAAGAATTCCCCATCTATTCTTCAGTGCAAGGATCCCCTAAGAATTGACTGCAAAGAGAAGAGTCAACTTCAGAAGCAGCTTCTAGTGCAGGAGGGAAGTGGCATTTGGGAATGCATGGGTGAGGCACACAAAGCTCTTGAGCCTGAGGAAAACCTTTATGCCCACTTGCCTGGCTTGGGGAAAATACCAGCACCAGTCCTGTAGAAGCACCAGCTTCCCAGTGCTTCAAGCCTTGGGTTCAAACCTCCTGCCCTCAGTCAGCAGTGAAAGAGGGAACTAGAAATGTGACCCATTATTATTGCACTGCTTTCCAAATACAGCTGGAGAGCTGGAGAGCTGGAGAGCTCTGGCACGTCAATCCCAAACCAAACCCATGGGTCACGCCACACAGGCCATGTTTTACTCTCAATTGCACCTCTGTTCAATCCCTTTGTTTTACCTTCTTACCCAATCTTGCAGCACCAAGAAGTAAACAGTGTTTATCATGGAAAAGCAGAGGGAAGCCAAGAGTGCACCTGCTTATTCCTCCTAGCAGGTAGTGCCACGTCTCCCTGGCTTTCAAAGCCTTGGACTGTCCCTGGTGTCTCCCAAAAGGAGGAAGGACTTAGAAGAAAATACAGTTGGGTGCAGTTTGTGTCAGAGTGAGGTAGCCAGGGCTCCAGAAAAGGTGGGGCTTGGAAAGAAGCAATGCAGGTGACCTGAGTAGGAGTGACCCAGGTGACATAAACAGTGATTGGGAAATGCTGCTGTGGAAATGCAAAGGTGTTTCTTGGCCCCTCTGTGCCCTGCCCCAGTGTGGGACACAGGCTGTGTGTGTCCCTGAGTGATGCCCTGTGTTTTAAGTCTGTTGTTTTACCAGGGCAAACACCCTCGTGGAATTTGGCATTTCCCCATTTCCCCATCACTGGGTCAGAAAGCACTGTGAGCCCAGGGACCCTGCTCATCTGTCCCTCTTGTCTTCTTCCTGGCTTTGGGGACAAAGCCAAACTTGTCCTTGGGCCATCCAGCGTGGGCCACTTTGGAGCTCCATTTGGCAACTGAAAGAAAGGATCCTGTGTGCCTGACAATGCAGGGCAATAGCTCAAATAGGATCTTCCTCCTATGGGATTCAAATGAAGCAGGAGCCACCTCAGCTGCTCTGCCAGGACGCAGCAGGGACAGGCTGGCACCTGCCAGGAGGTCCTCTCACCTCCCCAGGGTGGGGATATTTATCCTCTCCTGCACCTGAGAAAAACAGGCAAAGCCATGTCCTAGATGTTTTTACACACAGCCACAGCTTTGTTCCCCTTAGACAGTGTCTAGTGCTCAAAATGCACCTCCCTGGATGAAGGAGCTTTTGCTGGCCAGGGTTCAGGGCAAAAGGCAGCTGTCAGGAGGGGCCAAGCTCATTCAAGGAATGAGCTTGCACAGGGCCCTCTCCAAAATGTCCTGCTCCAAACATTCTTGTAGCAGTTCTCAGCATTGATCTAAAAGCCCCAGGACAACTGAAAAGGTCCCTGCAGACCAGGAAGAATTTGGAACCCTGACACCGGTGATGCAAAAAGACACCTGGAAAAAGGCACTTAATGACTGCAAGGTGCTGAAGTGGGGAGGGCTTGTGGATGCCAGGAAAGCAAAGCTCCTGGGAGATTTCCAGCACAGGGGCAGAATATCCCTCTCAGAGTGAGCAGGGATTGCCTTAGGTTGTATCCTCTGTCACAGTTCCTGGAACAAAAGGGTGCTTTGGCTTCAGTTTCCATCAGCAGCACTGTGCCAACACCAAAGGATTCACCAGTCCTGCTGCCCCACACACCAGCCTACCCTCAGTGCCTCCTGCTCCCGTGGATAAATGGAAACACCCTGTGATGCTGCAGGGTCCAAAACAGGGAATCTGACCATTCCCTACAGCGACAGCAGGGGGAGGAAAAAGGGCTGAGGGGCAGAAAGCCACCAATGCAGAAAGCCAAAAGAGCAGTTCTGTTTTGGGTTGAAATCTTCCATGTAAGAGTCTAATGTTAGCAAAAACCAGTTTGTGTTTCTCACCTTCATGAAAGCTGAGTTTTATTATTTGTGTCTAAACAGTCTGTGATTAATCAAGGAGTTTCCATGGCACCAGGGGTCAAATCACGTGACCTTGTCCTGCAGAATAAAGGAGTGGCTCTGGCAGGGGTCTGAACTTGCCCACACTGGGGCCTTGCTCACCTGTGTGTGCTCACCTGGGCTCCTCAGTTGCCTCTTGGCTGGTCCATGTTTCCTCACATTCCAGTGGCTGCCTCCACAGCAGGAAGGGCTGTCACTGGTCCAGGGAGCACATTCCCACCCTTGCCTTCCCACCAGGAGACAGATTTTAGCAGAGCTGACAACATGAGCAACGTTTTTGCCGCTGATGTCCCTGACAACCTTTTGTCTAAATAGGAAAGGAAAGAGTGGGAATGATCCACCCTGGACTTTGCCTCACTAATTGGTATTTCTGTGGCTTTGGCAGCTCCCAGAACATGCCCCAACACACTTATCTTTCCTTCTGCCAGGAGCGTGGTACAGGAACCTCCAGCCTATCCTGCGCTCAGCATTAAGGAGAGAAACCTTTTCCCTGTTCCCATGACAAACACCTCATCTGGGGACATGCGGTGGTGATGTCACTGCCCAGGGCAGCTGCGTGATGAAACGGTGACTTCAGCACGGTGACTTCACCCTGCTCTGGAGCAGTGCCTGGTGCTCCCAGCCAAGGGCAGGGCTCCGCAGGACAGACCTTCCTGCTCAGCTGCACCCCCGGGCAGAGAGCACCAGGAAATGTTGGAGCAGATCACCTCCAGCTGGAAGGAGTTCTGGCAGGCACTGCTTCGTTTCAGGCCAGAAGAGATTCCTTAGCCTTGCCCGACTCTTAGGATCACCCTGTAATACCACTAAGACATTTCAGATGTAGAGAATGGTTTGGCCTGGAAGAAACTTTAAACTATATCCAGTTCCACCCCTGCCATGGCAGGGATACCTTCACTATCCCAGATTGCTCCAAATCCTGTCCAACCTGGCCTTGAAATAAGAAACACACCAGAGACAAGCAGGAGCCCTGTGGGATACAGGCACAGCTGGCTGCTGGGTCAAAGGAAAAAGCTCAGCTATACCCAAGTCACAGCCTGCGAGTCTCTGGTGCAGGGGCTGCTGCTCAGCAGCAGGAGGATGATGCTTCTACAGAATTGTGGAATCATCAAATCATGGAATGGTTTGGGCTGGAAGGGACCTTAAAACTCATCTCATTCCACCTCCTGCCAGGGGGAAGGTCACCTTCCACTAGATCAGGTTCCTTCAAGCCCTGTCCAGCCTGGTCTTGATCCAGGTGCTCTCTGGGGAAATCTCTATTCCCTGGATTAATCGCCATTCCCTGGATTAAC